CCTCCTCTGCTCTTGGCCTAGGACGAGGAAGTGACGTGGCAGCGCTGGGAGGAGATGCTTCAGCACTTGAATTTACTGCTGCTGAGTTATCACCACGTAGTGCTGGGTAAGCAGCCCCGCCCGCGAGCTGGCTCAGCCTGTCGGAGCAAGCAAGAATCCGTCGGCCAGACCACCCACTTCAGCACTTGAATTTACTGCTGCTGAGTTATCACCACGTAGTGCTGGGTAAGCAGCCCCGCCCGCGAGCTGGCTCAGCCTGTCGGAGCAAGCAAGAATCCGTCGGCCAGACCACCCAGGGCCCCTCACAGCCAGGCAGCTGGGTTCTCACCGTTCAGTCCAGAAAGCTGCTGGGAGCGGCTGTACATACAGGAGAACCTACACAGGGACAATCCTGCCCACGCCACCAGACTTCAGCCCCCAGGAATTAGCCTGTTCCCTAAAGCTGCATCTAGACTGGCAAGATTTTGCGCAAAAGCAAACGTTTTTAGGTAAAATCTTGCCCGTCTCCACTGGCCGCGAGTATTTGCGCAAGAACACTGACGTTGTAATGTACAAAATCAGGGCTTCTTGCGCAAATAGTCTGATGCTCCCGCTCAGGGATAAGCCCTCCTGCGCAAGTGTTCTTGCCAGTTAAAATGGCTATTGGAGCTTTCTTGCGCAAGAGAGCATCTACACTGGCACGGATGCTTTTGTGCAAAAGACGTCTTTTACGCAAAAGCATCCGTGCCAGTGTAGACGCTCTCTTGCGCAAATACTTTTAATGGATTTTCCATTAAAAGTATTTGCGCAAAATCTTGCCAGTCTAGACGCAGCCTAAGGGTTTGTGGTCCACTGTGCTGCTTGTTCCCTCGCTCAGCCGACAGCCTGGCCCGCTGGGGCCTTCCAGCTGCAGTTTGGTCGAGTGAAGTTGAAAATCAGCTCCCCCGCTGCAGTCATGGAAGGGGGGGGTGCCTAGCTGCGCAGCCAACAGCCCCTCTCACCCCCATTTCCTCTGGCAGGGCACTTAAGAAGTTCTCTCAGCGAGCGGATGGATTTAATCATCGCCAATGCCAAACCCAAGGTGCAGGAGAGCGACAGGCTCATGCCCACGGATGTCGAGATGCACATCCAGGACTTCAGCAGCCGGCTGCAGCAGGTCCTGGGGCAGCCCCTCCCCCCGCAGCTCAAGGACAAGGTGTGCGTACTGCGGGAGCTGCTGCTCGCCACCACCGCCTGACAGAGCCTTCCAGCACGGGGGTAGGGCCAGCTTTGGGCCCGGTGGCTGCCTGCTCACAGCAGATGGCCGCGGTTTTGTTAAAAGCCAGGTGCCAGGCTGCCTGAGAAGCCACCTGAAACTGTGTGTACAGATCCTATTAAATTATTTTCCTGCTGGACCTGTCCTGCAGCTCCCAGTAACCTAACCTGGGCACGCGGAGGATGGTGCCACCGGAGAACGTGGGGGCTGGCCAGAGGGGAAGCCCTCGGGCAGTTTGTTAGCTGCTGGCCAGGCCAGGATAGAACTAGCATGAGACAGGTCGAAGTTGGCATGGGCTCTAGCCACGCGCTCAGGCAGTGCGTTCCCGGAGAGGAAGTGCTCCTACCCAGTCACATGCTGCCGTGGCCCTGGCTCGTGGCTGCACGTGACAGAGCAGCATCTCCCTAGCCAAGCTTTGCCTGTTAACCCAGCTCCTCTGGGCCACAGCAGGGCTCCCTGGGCCCCAGGCAGAGGAGCAAGCAGCTGGCCTCGAGGAACCTGGCTGTGGGCTGCAGGGCTCTGAACGAGAGCTGGCTGGTCTCCCTGCCCGAGGCTGAGCCTAGGGGTGTGGGGGCAGGGCTGCACGTGACAGAGCAGCATCTCCCTAGCCAAGCTTTGCCTGTTAACCCAGCTCCTCTGGGCCACAGCAGGGCTCCCTGGGCCCCAGGCAGAGGAGCAAGCAGCTGGCCTCGAGGAACCTGGCTGTGGGCTGCAGGGCTCTGAACGAGAGCTGGCTGGTCTCCCTGCCCGAGGCTGAGCCTAGGGGTGTGGGGGCAGGCAGAGCTGCGCCCGCCTCTCGCTAAGCTCTGCTAGGAAGTGACGCTGCCACGGGAGAGCCCCCCGGCAGCCAGGCTCCTTGCTCTGCTGCCACTGGGCCGGCCCGGGCCAGATCCGTGTTTCAGAACAATGCGGGCACCCCTCATGCGTATATGGCCCCGCTGTCCCAGGCCTGTGACTGCCCGCTGGGACAGAAGGGGCCCAAGGGCAGTGCTGAGCCCTGCTGCAGATGCTTGGGGAAGGGGGGGCGGGGTGCAGAAGAATGCTGAGCCTAGCTGGGGGTGACAGTTTTCTTTCCTGTGACCAGGAGCAGAGGGGGTGGTAGGAAGCGACCCAGGGAAAGTACCAGAGGGTCCACTCCTCCCCCCGCCCTAGGATCATAGGGCAGAGATCAGTGACTGAGTGGGCCGAACCCAGCCCAACGCATAGCCCCACCCCGCTCCAAACCAAGGTGGTGTCCTGGAGACTTGGGGCCCTACACAGGATATTGTGTGGCTCAGAGTGAACTGGGACTCTGCACACAGTGAGCATGCAGAACCATGATCCCCCCCCCCACACACACACACACTGGGTTTTACACACAGCTGTTTAGAGCTGTGGAAACAGCCCCGCCCAGAGACACTTGAGTTATTGGGGGGGGGGGAATGAGGGGGTGCATTGCAGAATACTGTACTGAACAGCAGAAAGAGCCACAATAAGCACACACCTGCCCCTTCTCCAGAACTGGAAGCTGGCCCAGAGGGGAGCAGAGATGGCTCATCTTGTGAACAGGTGATTGCAGAGGGAGGACTCTTGAGGGAAGCGGGTGTGTGTTGTGTTTGGGGCTTTTTTGCTGTGTGCTGAGTTTGTGTTTGAGTGTGTGGTGGGGT